AACACAGTATTTAATTTGCATGAAAAAAATACAGTAACATAAGTAGGTAATCTACAATACGTCAAAAATAAATCAAAAAATTCTTCCGTACAGTTTCTTTACAAAAAAATAAAATGTCCAAAAATAGAGGTTTTTTAAAATTTATTTTTAAACGGCACAGCCAAAAAATTTCTAATTAATATATATTGCTGCTAAGGCCATAAATAAGGATTTATTTTCTTATTCAGTATAATTCAACCTTAAATGACAAATAAAATTGTTAATCCTGTAACTGTCAGAACCTTGTCATTACTGACATTAATCACATTTGAAAAGTAAAAGTTTTCTTTGAAATAATGAGAATTAATATGGAAGATGCTGCACTCGTCGAAGTTGTTAGAGAACATAATTTATACATAGATACAAATCGTCACTAGTTTAACAAATGTTTGTGTAAAATACGAGATTTACATGGGTGTATCCTTAAATTAAGTACTTTTTGGTTAATTTAGAAGTATAAATTAGAAAATTTGGTAAAATGTCAAATCCGTTAATTCTTAAATTAAATCTTAAATGATAAATCTTAAATATGAAAGCATAAATCCACCAAAGTTGTCAAAAAATATTCGGATTTTTTTGTGTTGCTATGGTAATCATATTAAATACTAAATTCAGATTCGTTCTTCCATAGTGTCATGCAGTTTTCTCAAAAACAAAAACATTTAAAGTTTGTTTTATTATATCGGTGATTTACGAATGTGTGGTATAATTTTAACCACGAATGCCCCTCTACAAATGCAAATTTTTTGATTAAGTTTTTAATGATTAAAGTAGTAAAAAGGCCATTGAAAGTACAAATTGGATAAGAACTATGTTTCATAATCACTCATCATATTTGAAATATTTTTAATCTCAAAACTTGAATGTTACAAAAAAAAAAAACAAATACAGATGCGCCACAACTCGCGCCCCGAGAAAAATGCCATTTAAAGTAGGATAAAGTAGGAATTCTATCTATAAAAATTTTGAAGTTAAAAGAGTTTAAATTTTGCACTTTGAATCTACTTATTTCTGTTGTAAAAATAATTTTCCAAGTTTTTTTGCTACAGGCTATTAGAATAGGAAACAAGAAAGCTATATCCTAAATTGTAACTCTGTTTAAGGTTATTTGTGACTTTTATTATCAAAATTTTTGTACCTTTAAATAATTATAAAAAAAAACATATACAAGATTATCATTATCATTAAATAGACATAATAAAAATGTCAAATGTCAAAAAGTAAATGTCAAAATTTTTTGACAGAGAATTTTTTAAACATTTTTTTCATGTTCCTGGTATCTTATCTTACTTGAAATTTTTCTCTGAGGCGCGAGTTCTGACATACCCTGTCTAGTTTTAAAGTTTCTACATAAAAAAAAAAATTAAAAATTTATGAAATGCAATAAAAGTGTAATTATGGTACCACTTTATGATCTGTAATCAAACGCTGATTGTGATTAGTTAGTATTTTTTATTCTTATCATTTTCAAAAAACAATGAACAAATATTTTTTTTATTTATAATTTTATGAAAATTGCTTTTGCTTATTAACATTTTTAGTACTTCGTCGTACAGTTGGAGACAAAATACCTTGGTCGTCAATGTCACTTGACTGACTTTAAATTGTAAAGCATGCTTTAGGACTGTTAACCTTATTTTTAGCTACTGTCAATCATAGGTGACAAGTTGTATGTACATATTTTTGATAGGAAAATATAATAGCTGTCATTAATTTGAAATTGTCATTTATTTTAACGTTAAAGCTTGAATTACATTAAAGTGTCAGAAAAGTGACGACCAAAGTATTTTGTCTCCAACTGTAGGTGTATATATAGGATTCAAAAATGACCAGAGTTTGAATTTTTTAAAAAATGGCAAACTTCAGTGCTTACTTATTCCTTTCATTTGTCATTGACGGTAAGTATATCAGTAAGTAGTACTTTTTATTACTTTTGGTACTTATTTCAGTCATGTCCGTTGATCTTAATCCACGTATGTTGAATGGAAATCCTCAACCATTCTATGAAAATGTGATTTTTAACATCAAACATATAAAAAACGATTTAGTGGTTAAATCATGTTTAGGAATAAAGCTTGAGGAAGCGTAGCTCATTACATCAGCTTTTTGTATTCTTAAAAATGAGTAAATAGTGAAAATGTAGTTTTAATTCAATACTAACTTGATTTTTCCAGTAATTCCAGTCAAATTATTGCCGAAGCTCAAATTGATGGAGGAAACCTTGTCGAACGTGACACCCAACTGGGAAGAATATATTCATCCTTGATATGAAAAGGAAAACATGATATAGGATTGCTTCTTCTCAGAGAATATCCTAGATATATTAATAAAAAAATGAAGGAAATAAGAATACTTCCATTTTCAAATGACTTCAAAAATATGATAGGAGTTGTAAGTGGTATCAATTCTGTCAACCCACTAGAATCAAATAGTTTTGGTCATTTAAATGTTACTATTTATAGTATGTCTCAATGCAAAAGGGAATTTCCGGAATTGAATTATGTTCAAAAATTGGATGGATATTTTCAAATTTGTGCTGTTCCTATTAATAAACAAGCAGACATGTTTGAATCAGATTCGGGAGCTATCTTGTCCAGTGCATTTTATGATAATCGTGACAGAGGAATCATTGGAATATTTAACGTTATTCCTGAAAGAGCTGAACATTTTAACCAACAACGTCGTCCATTGATTTTCACACAGATTTATCCTTATTTTCCTTGGATTACTGATGATCTTGCATATATTCCTTATGAAACTTTAAAAAACAGACCTCTTACTTCTTAATATCATTTTAAAATAAATATAATGTTATACCAAAGTTATGTTTAGTAAAAAATTCAACAATTTGAATCTAAATTCTCGTGTCACATTTTGTCTTTTTGCACTTTATGAAAGTAATCAAAGAAATGTCATTTTTTGATAAAAACCGATGAGATGGTCGAGTTCTGTAGTTTGTTATATGTTCGATGTTAAAAATATCAATTTTTTGACGTATTTCCATTACATAGATTTAGTACTTACCACAAGTAGCAAAAAGTGCTAAGTAGGTAGGTACTTAGTGTAGTAGTATACTTGCCGTCAGTGGCGGACAAAAGAATAAAATAGTATCAAAAATTCTAGGAGCAATAATCTCTAAAGCTAAAAATAAAAATTATATTTGTTTGAAAATCGTTATTGAATTTTTATCGACTGTTTTAATAGAAATAAAAAGTACTACCTATTTAGTGTTTTATTACAGGTTTTAATAGTATATTATGTAACAAGTGCTATAAACACCACTTTAAACATGAGTTTCATCAGGCACAAGGAAAGCGCAGCAAACCACCATAAAAAATTTACGGAAATTAAAAATTAAATTAAATGACAAAAAAAAACGAAGGTTAAAAAAATTAATTTTATTTCAAACGAACAGGACTTTTTGAACTGTGCTGAAACGTGAGGTTTTAATAKGCCAAATGTATTTGTTTTTGATAATGCTAACGAGTACTAGATTTAAATGTTTATTTTTATATTTTGAAATTATTAGGGCTCTAATATAATCCTCCTTCCTTAAGTCGGAAAATAATACTGATGTATTATTTTGCGTTGTTTGAAGGCTGTTTGGCGGCTGCGATTCGAAAGCGCAGAAAGAGGTGCTAGTGTCTTTTCTTGAAGAAATAAATTCTTAAACTAGGCTAGCTCTGTGACATCGAGTAACTATGTCCTATTCCTGTAAGGTAACTACCATGCCCAAAGAAGTACAATGCACTTAAAACTCTAACGTGCATTGATATTATAGTATTTCGTTGTGCTCTTTGCATAACCGGCCGCAGAGCATTGACTAAATCTTAAAAACAAAATTTATTTAAACGAAATAATTTCAAAAATAAAGCATTATTTCAAGTAAATGGATTTGTGGTATCTCGTAAGTGGCGCTGATAAATTCTGTTTTCTACTCTGTTTCTTCTAATGTCTTCTTCATAAGCAATAATTAAATGAAGAAATCCATCAAACGCCATTATTTATAACGCACGATGTTTAATACTCCTATCACTGATTTGGATTTTTCTACACTGACCACTGACGTTTGTCGTCTCCTTTATTATTTTAAATGCTACCCACAAAGTACACTTTAAAAATTAGGCATTTAAAGGTGAAAAATAAAGGGGGTATTTAAAATTTTAACAGAAAAGATACATACAGAATAGCATCGAAAATTTTAAACACCCTTTAAAATTGTTTGTATGTTTACAGAATAGGCCCTTATATCTCTCATGCCTCAAGAATTAAAACTATGGAAAATGTAGTACATAATTCAGAAAAGATGGGGCAATAATTTGAATTAAGTAAAAACTTAATTTTGTCTCTGTTCCACACTACAGCTCAGTATAAAAAAAGTAAACAAAAACAGTGTTCTCGTCTTTTAGGTATAACATTTACAAGATAAAACTAGAAATGTTATTGAATTAAATTACAATGTTCTGCAAACTTCATTCTTTAAGCCGATCAAAAATTCGTCGAAATCCGACAAAGACTAACAAAAATATTGCAATGTGAATAATCGCAAAATCTTAGTTGTCCGGTTAATTTCCGTCCAAAGATGTTAGAGGTGTTTCTGATTCTTGCAGAGGCATTTTCCACAAGTTCCAGTAATTGTTGCACAGTGTTTATGGGGGTACCTAAAAAGTTGTTAACCCAGAGACCTCGACAGCCTGGCCAAGGAATTTTTCCGTTCCTGACTTTTCTCCAAATAGTGATTTTTTTGTTGATTTAAATGTCCCAAATCGGTTTGTAGTTTTGAACAGTTTCATTAATTTCCTTGCTTTTAAGTCTCAATATCGTTTTGTCGTTTTAGTAAATCCACGACCATAGWTTCGTCTTTTTGACAGTCATTTTCAAACGATTTCATTTTGTCTTGCAATTCGTTGCTAGTCCCTTCGAATTCAAAAGCTAGATTTTTTCTAATGCTTCTTTGCATTAAGACTAATTCTTGTTGTTTCTTTCGCCGCTAAGTCGYGTTCTAGCCCTCCTAAAACCTCCTCCACTTTCACGATTTCCTCAAGGCGTATTTTGATCGGTTGTAATTTATTCGTTTTGGTGTCAATTTCGGTGTCAAATGACATGAGTTTATTGTTCTTTCTTTTCTCCTTTTTGTGCTCAACTTCCAGTTTTAGTAACTTGATTCTGCCTTGTCTGTCTTTCGCTTCTTTCCGGTAGATGTCGACGCATTTATTGGACTGTTGGGTATTGAAAATTTCGTCGAATTTTTCTTTAATTTTCTTTCCTTCGTCCAAAGGCCACGTAGCGTTTTCCTGGTCACAAAAATCATATTGTTGAGGACTAAAGGCAAAACGTTCATAATTTGACAAAACTCGTTTGTGATGTCTACACATCGGCCCGAAAAGCTTCTGTCGTCGACATTTGGCATCACGATTCGAATAATTCCCGGCATTGAGCTAAATTTCAGGGAATTGTGCAAAGTTTGGGTCACTTCCATAATGCGACGTACCGTAAAGCGTTGTGTTTGGTCTTTGGTGCTGGTTTTGGATGTCATTTTCCGGTCGTTGAGAAAACCTTGACCCCTTCCGGAATGTGGGCGGTCATTGCGTATTTGATATCTTCAATAATGGTGGTTTTACCAGAACCATTCTGGCCTAGTATTAAGGTYAAAGATGTAGCGAATTTTAACGTTTGACAGTGGTATTAGTCGGGGCCGAAGCTGCATATGCCAAAAATTTGTAATTTTTCCAGAGTTGCCATCGCTGGAAAAATAACTTTGAGAAAAAATCAAGAAAAAAAACCGACTAATTTTGTAAGAAATAAACTAAGAGCTCTCGTAACTATTCCAGTGCAAATCTTGACTATTTTACAAGTTTCTCTGGAAGTAAGAATTGATAAAAAACATGGAAAAAAACTAACAAAAAATTAAACTTACTATTTACTTTGATACAAAAAACTTAATTGAYAATAAATCGTAAAAGTGTTATGTAGCACACTATTAATGAAAAAGATGCTCACAATACTGCTTTTCAGCACAATTTTTGATATTTTATCGAGATAAAATTTGAGGTAATCCACATTGTTTGAATTTGAAAAAACAACGGTTATCAGTGGTACCTAACTTACCGGCCGGATTACCTCCAAAAATAATAAATAAATACTTAATAAAAAGACTGTAGACGCGTCAATAATGCGTTTAATGTTATAAAAATAAAATTTTACATCAGAACTTTTTTTTTCTTTTTTTGAGTCATCACTTGTGTTGGTGGTATTGCAAAAAAACTGTAATCCCGCTGTTCCATCGAAGACGATTTCTTTGAATTCTTCAAACAGAAATTCCGCCTCATGACGTAGGGGGCCCCAGTTGAGGCAGACGCTGCGAGACTGAGCTCCTCAACTTCTTCCTCAATGCAAGGCTCATTTTTCGCTCATTGGGATGTAAAAAATTAAGTCGAGTTCCTTCTCAGCCGGCTGTCTTTGAGGCAACTTCCTCAGAACGCCCCTAACCTCACTTTTGTCTCTCCCGAAGTCTTTCAACACTTGCAGCAGACACATTGTGACCACATCCTCCAGGAAAACCTCACTCACAATCACACTTTTTTGTTGTGTTCCACACCTTAGCCCGGATCCCAGATCCTCATATTAGAAATAACGGTACAATTGAGCCACCTTTTGCCTGAAAAAAACGACAAGAAAGTTGTGAAATAAGGGGGCTGTTTCACTCACTTGGTGGGCAAATTCGGCTTAGGGGTTATTATGGGGCGAAAAGCTATGAAAAATCAAGGGTTAAGGAGAGTGACATAACCAAACATTTTGACTTACCGACAACCATTTTAAAACTTTGATATGTAATGTGATAATTTTTGTTAGTAAAAATTAGTAGGTTTTACAATGCGTATAATGATAAATAATTGTGCAACATTGAGTTATTGAGTAAAATAAAACTTGCCATAAGATGGCGCTTTTTTGACGTTTCGTTCCACGTTCCTCGTACCAAAAAACTGTTACACAATTGGCTAAGAAAAATTTATTATTGTCAAAATACATTTATTACAATAAATCAATTAAAATCATATTTTGTTACTTTTTGTGGCGCAACTCTCTTACTCTCGTCAACTACTTGTTTTTCTTCCTCTTTAAAAAACAAAATATTTTCATACAATTGCTTCTTGTTTTTTTCTAGAATTTATTTATGATTACACAAAAAGACAAAATATGCGTACCTACCATGTAAAAGTTTGCATTTTACTGAACCCCCATATTCCTCAGGAAGACACTTCATTGGTACATTTATTAATAAATCATTTATATCGTTATGAAAATAAACCTAAAAATAGTATATTACAATCGAGTAGGAGAATATGATATTACTTCGAGCTAATGACATTCCCACCGAGGTTTGTATACTATTTTATTCACAATCACATTCGTTTAATACAATAAAAATAGGAATGTAATGCTATACTTCCCAACCTCCAAAAGGTTAGGAATCGGCATATTATTACTATAGTGATTGTGAATAAAGTTTTTCCAAAAATTATTATGCCATACTTTTTTTACCTTAGACACAATTTCTGTCCTTATGAATGGTTTTATTAAGGCCATTATGTCATCACAGAAAGACTTATTATTTAAACAATATATCCCTTTTACTTTAAGAGGGATGGCTTGTTGCACGTAGCATAAGAATTTTTTCAAAACTGAAGTCTCAAATTTGTTTAAATGATTCTTGGTTAAACCATCCAAATCCAAAATAACTAAATACTCTTGAGCCAGTTTTTCCTTATTTAAATAAAGAGAACAAACCATATCGAAATATTTTAAAATCGCAACAAAATCAAAATTATCTGGGTTTTGGTCCAACAACTTTACAAAAATAATTCCTTCCCCGTGAGGTGTTTTTTCAGGCAAGAAAGTGATAAGTCTGCAAACAATTTTTACGAAAATAATAATTGAAACTGTGAAACTTATTACGCAACATCCAAACTTTCCTTAAGAGGCGATTTCGAAACATCTCTTCCTGTAAAAAACTCAGGACACAAAGTCCTAATCGTAAAGCATGAGTCAATTACGTTTTTTGCCGTTTCTTCATTAAAATCACAACAATGTAAAAATAAATTTGCTTGTGAGTCTGAAAAAAGTGTCAAAAATTTGACCAAAAACAACAAAAACGTACCTACCATTAATTTGAGGTAAATGAGGCTGAGTAGTATTGATCCAATTTATTAAAATCTCGATTTTCTCTTTGTTGTTCGAGTCCGAAAAAGCTTCGTTTATTCCGAAATTGAACAGTGCTGAAAATATATCAGATAAAAGATGATTTTAGTATTTTTTTTCTTACACGTTTATTCATGGTTTGAAAGGTGTTCTTGTTGTTTGAGCCCGAAAAAGCTTCGTTTATTCCAAAATTGAACAGTGCTGAAAATATGTCGGTTAAAAAAAGATTTTAGTATTTTTTTCTTACACGTTTATTCGTGGTTTGAAAGGTGTTTGGAGAGCCAAAAGCAGCATATTGAAAGCAGGAGGCAGAATAAACTGCAACAAAAAATTAAACTCTTCATTTATTTGACAAGTTTTTTAATTCCCTAAAAAAATATTACTTACGTCTGTCGGACCTAGAAGTAGAATAACTGGAAACTAGAATAACTAATTTTAATAAAAACAATAAAAGTTGGATATTCTTTACGCTTTATTGGAGAAGAATAGGACTGTGCCATTGCTCCGAAGGTCATACCCATCGCTGGAGAAGCAAAAGAGTTATTGCATGCCCTTGATGGGGCTGAACAATGTTGATAATTAGGAGCATAAAAATTTTGACGCGTTGTGGCAGCACTTTCATAATCAGTTGAATCATTTTGCTGAGGTTTAACAACAACCAAGGAAGTGATTGAAGTCACGAAAGAATATTTCAAAGCCAAATTGAGCGCTTTTTTAGTCAATTCATTGCGATTTTCGGCCGTTTCGCGCTCATCTAACAACTGTTTGACTGTTAAATAGGCCCAAAGTCGCTCTAACGAAGTGTCACTTTCGGCATTTTGTGTCTCAAATTCGACACAACCATTGAGACAAAAAGCTTCAATGTGTCTCAAAGGTCTTGTCCCCCCTTGAAAAATATTGTTAATTTTTTGTTTGATCAACTTGGAAGTGAGTACAGCATCTGCCAGCTACTATAAATTCCGATCCTAGGAAAAAAATAGGGAAATCAATTCTAGTCACATCTGAGACTTCGTCGACGTATTTAAATCGGACATCCCTCAACAAAGGGGAGGAAACCGTGCGATAGAAGCTTTGTAATTGGAGGGAGGCATCAGCTGCTTCGTAAATGTGTCTCGAGAAGCCCAAATTTTGGGCTGACAATTTTTTCAGGAAATTTTTATCGGCGTCTTCGCCGAAAGATAGGGAATAAATGGCAGCCCTGTTTGTCCCTTGATTGATTTTAGTCACAATTTTGGTAATTTGGTCCGGGTGACTGATACCAACATTGGGTAAACCATCGGTGAGGAAAATAATCATTGGTTGGTATTTAGTTGCAAAATTTTTTTCATAGAATTTCTCCAAAGTTCGGCGCACTAAAAACAGACCGACTACCAACCCCCCGCTGATATTCGTACTCCCCATGTTCACATTATCGCCCTTGATTTTTTTAGCCTTTTTAATGTTGTCTTCAGTCACTGGAGTCGCCTCCCCCAATTCTAATTTCTGCAAACAAAAATCATTTTTTTCAAAAATTAGATAAAATCTCACCGTTAGAAACGAATCAAGATTTTCATAATCAGGTTGTTGCGTGAAATAAACTTCATCAAACTTATTTTTAGCCAAATTCCACACTGAAACATTGTCAGAAAAGCGCACAATATGAAACAAATCTTCCGGATTTAAATCGGACAAAATTTTGTCCATTGCTTGCATCAATTGTTCGATTTTGCGCCCCATCATGCTGCCACTGTGATCCAAGACGAAAACCACGTGTTTTGGGAGCGTTTTTAGGTCGCTGGGGGCGAAAAAATGAACAAAATAACCGTCACGTAGCAAAACCTTGAAACAATTTTTCAAAATAAAAAAATTAAGTTCGGTGATTTGGTACTTCGCCCCCTTTCGGGTCCCGTTCCACGTCATACTGGACCACAAACTGTCCCGCAAGCCCTTTATCCTTACTCCCGAGTGCCTCCGCATATTTTTTCTGCTGCTCTTTATCCGGATTGAATTTAACTTTAGCAGAATTCGGATTTAGAATTTCTGTTTGGGCACAAGGGTCCAATTCGGGCTTATCTTCACTTATTTCGTTCCCTGTACGCAATGAAAGGGTTTTGACGAAGGTCAAAGGTCGCGTTTCGTTGATTTTCACCTCAAAAATAGCACAATTAAGACAAAATAATTAAAGTGAAAAAGTTTATTACTTCCAAGCGGAGATCATCGAGGATTTGGCCCGGATGTACGTTGATAATAAGTTCGTATTGGCCATTTTGGCGTTGCAAAAGCTCCTCATATGTGAGTCTGAAGATGGTTTCACTCGATGGTTCGATATTTACCGAAACGGTGAATTTTTTCGAATCGCGAGCGTTTAATTCGACGTGGGCTGCACCAAACCCACTTGAAACGGCCTAAATTTAATTATTTCTCAAATTCAACAAATTGAAATTAATTACGATTAATTAAATACCTGTGTGTAGATTGTTTTAGCTTCCTCTTTCTCTTTCACATACGCCTTGTATATTTTTCCATCAATTTCCATTTCGAATTCTGATATGAAAGCATTTTCGGGTAAAATGACCGAAAATGTAGTTTCCTCAGCTTTATTTTTCGTATTTTTTACTTTACTCGTGATTAGGGTTTTGGCAAAACGATTATTTATTGTCGTTTCAATATGCATTGAATTGATTTTAGGAGACATCTTGAAATAAAAAAAAATCAAATATACAACTCGCAAAATGAAATAAATTACTTACTTCAGTCGATTCCATTGTGAACACGTAATAAAATAAAAAAAGTAATCTTATCTTAAAAATTACCACAGGTGTGATGGCTGTTTGAAGCACCTTCCTCCTGTACCAAGCAAAATAATGAATTAATTTGCGTCGCAAAACCGATTTTATAGAGCCAATCGCGGAACCAAATTTATGTAAATACTTGAACGAATAAAAATAATGAGAATTCACATTAATTTATTTCAATATGTTAATATGTTTATTAATTTTTCGGGCAATAACATATTTGTTATTGTTTACACTTTTTGTATGAGAGTACAAATTCTTCTTTAACTCGTCACCCACTGACAAAATTCCCCACTTTCGCCAGCTTGTCACGATTTTATACAGTTTGTTAATACGCAGTCTCAACTTCGTAGAATTTGTTTCTAAAATTGGCATGAGAAAACAAGGTTTGTAAATGTTTACCTTCTTGAAAATTTATTTGTTAAAAAGAGGCTAATAATAAAATAATAGTCATAAAAAATGATAACTTTTAATAATTATTATTATTGTGCAATATTGTGAAAAAACGAGTTTAGTTAGTTAACGTAGGAGCGTTAACAACTTGATTGTTAAAAAATATTCTATTTCACATAAAATTATTATTACAATTATTTATTATTATTATTACTTCACTTTTACAATTATTTCAGATTCTTTCAACTCTGTAACTGCCAAATTTGGGTCTATCTATTTTGCAGAACCAGTAATAATCTGTAGAACATGGCCGTAAAATGATCCAATACACATAAACTACATAGTCATAGCTCTCATTTGGTATAAATTTCTACCCCTAAAACAACCCTTAAAAACGCCCCTTATTTTGCAGATCTTGCAGATCAGGGCCTAAAAGCAATTCCACCGTCTTCGAATTAAATAGTAGAGTATAAAATGTTACTTCTGGGCCAGGACATTTGGCGTCTTAAAAAAACAAAGTAGAATCTTACAAATTTAGCTGTTTGCTCAAAAGTAAACAACCGGAAAAGGCCTAAAACCTTTCAAAAACAATTAATTTTTATCCACGCCAAAAGTATCCAAATATGTGTAGACCACCAAAAATTGGACACACGAAATAACCGTTAAAATCTCCCAAAATAACGCAAAATTACCAAAAGAACGCCCTAAAAAACTAACAAAATACCTTGTTTTTACACAACCCAAAATGGCTTTTTACTTCTGAACCAGTGCATGTGGCGTTTTAAAAAACAAGACAGATTCCTACAAATTTTGTTGTTCTCCCAAAAGTAAACAACCGAAAAAGGTCTAAAACCCTTAAAAAAACATTAATTTTTATTCACCCTAAAAGTTCCCAAATATCTGTAGACCATCAAAAATTGGGCACACGAAAAAACAGGGTAGAATCTTATAAATTTAGTGTTTTTCCAAAAGTAAACAGCCGAAAAAGATCTAAAAAACTTCAGAAAGCATTAATTTTTATGCATCCCAAAAGTACTCAAATATCCGTAGACCACCAAAAATTGGGCAATTAAAAAACCGTTGAAAATCACCCGAAATAATGCAAAATTATCCCAAGAGCACTCTAAAAACTTACAACATACCGTGTTTTTAGACACTCCAAAATGGCTTTTTACTTCTGGACCAGACCAACTAGCGCATGCAAAAAAGAGGTATACTTTGTTGGTGCCTTACAAAATTAGGCAGAAAAAATTAATCTTTTATGCGCCCAAAAAATACTCGGAAATCAATAGACCACCAGAAAATGAGCACTTGGGAAAACTGTTGAAAATAATCCAAAATCAAACTTGAATTATAGATGAAGATTTTCAAATTTGTACTTTTTCTATTAATGAAGAAGCTCCTTTATACACAAAAGCGAGAAGGGAATAATTGGAATATTTTTAACGTTATTCCTACTATAACTAAAAATCAAAATTTTTGTGACCAACAACATCGTCATCCGTTGATTTTCACACAGATTTGGCCTTATTTTCGTTGTATTGCTGACATTTCAAAAATTTCTTATGACGATTTGATAAACAATTGGTGTGTTCACTAATAACATTTTAAAGTAAATATAATATTAAACTAGAATTTGATTTGATAATAACACTCGGACATTTTATAATTTAATTCCACATTTCTGTTTCTTATTTTTTACTTTATAAAGTGATCAAAAAGATGTAATTTTTAAYAAAAAAGTTATACTTAGTTGTGTTTTGTCGTCTTTTATATGTTTAATGATAAAAACAAATAGTTTAGAATTTTCTTTTATTAACATACGTGAATTTAGTCATGACTGAATTAAGTATTTACCACACGTACCAAAAAGTACTAATTAATAGTGTAGTAGTGGCAAACAAAAGAACGATTATGATCGTTTTTATACAAAACAGTATCAAAAATGTTAATGATCAAAAGCAATTTCTATAAGATTAAAATCAGAACACTGTTTTAAAAATTGCTATTGTATTTTTTATTGATTGTTTTAATAGGAATAAAAAGAACTACCTATTCAGTGTTTTATTACAGGTTTTAAGGTAGTACATAATTATACTTTTTCAAGTCTATTATAACGATTTGGAAAAGTCCGTTATTGACCTTTAAATGTTAAAACATTTATAATTTAATATTCAATTAATAAATATTCCCCCTGCATCACTTAAAATTATTTTCAAATCTACAGGGTGTACGAGAAATGAGTTAACTACAATACAAACTTATTATTGTCATATCAACAAGAAATTACTAGCTAGGAATATTTGTGAATAGATTGCCATAAATTTGGTTAGGTTGGTTTCTGGTGACAAACAAAAAATATCGTAGCTAGTGTCAAAATTTAGTCACCTGTCAGGTTGTATAAATAATTTAATTGATAGTTGAGAGCAGGTTTACAGGAAACGTCAACCGACAACAACAAGGGGTAACCAATCTTAGACAATCTTAGACTACTTCTGAAAATTCTAGTTACAAACAACATGAAAAACGTAATTTTCCTAAAAGTTCAAAACCTATGTGGTAATTTCTTGTTGACAAATCTGTAAATGAATAAAACACTCTATATTATATTGCATTTTTGGACGTAGCTTTTAATATTGATTGTTTCCAGCTAAACTTCTATTGGTCGATTTCGCTTACAGTTTATTTTTTTAAATTTTCTGGTGGGTGTAGTGTGAATCAAGAACACGACATGACATTTGACAGCTTCTGACATTTTAGTACTAAAGTCAAAAATGAAAGCTTCTCCCTGGCATTAGGTTTTTAAAGGGCTTAAATTATTATGACATATAGAGRGTATAAATATTAGCCTCAAAACAATTTTCCCTATTAAAAATAAAATTATAAATGACTTAGGTGACAGTAAAGCACACTTTTGACGTACATATACGTCATTAGCTCTGCGCTACTTTAATCGCATTTTTTAAAGTGAGATAAAGAGCGTGACCGACATAGCCATAGAGCATAGACCGTGGTACATACAACGTTTTATTCTATTTTATGATTTCTAAAAGATTTAAATAAATATTTAGAAGGAAATCAACTAAAATTTGTGTCCATGCAAATTTTAGTGTTGTGTAGAAAATTAGCTATTTTGATGTTAAGGTTACTGCGTTTGTTTAAAAAACAATTTATTTTTCGAAATGAACGTTTCTGAAGTAGAAAGCGTTTATTCGGAAGAAATTTTACAAGAATTTGAAACTGCTCAGGGAAAATTGATTCCCCATAAATCGGTGGATTTGTATGTGAAAGAATATGAAAAGTTTTGATACCATTGTATGAATAATTAAACCACCAGATTTTTGACAAATCKGTGCCATGAAAACCAATTTACGCCCACATTTGGGTGCGTATAAAGGTGATTATTGACTAAAATAGAATAAAAAAWTTTTWAATTGAAAAATTTAATCTTACAAAAAAGAAAAAAGGTAATTATGGTACCACWAAAAACTATAATCAAATGCTGATTAGTCAGTATTTACTTATTATTATCTTTATGTAATACAATGATAATTTTCAAAAAACAATGAATTTTTTTATTTGTAACTTAAAAATTGTTTTCGCTTATTAAAATTTTTAGTATTGCATCTTAGGTATATAAAAGGATTAAAACTGGAACAGAGTTTAAAACCTTGCAAAAATGGTCAACTTGAGTGCCTGTTTATTACTTTTGTTTGTCACGGACGGTAAGTATGCCAGTAAGTAGTACTTTTCATTACTTTTGGTACTTATTTCAGTCATGTCCGTTGATCTTAATCCACGTATGTTGAATGGAAATCCTCAACCATTCTATGAAAATGTGATTTTCAACATCAAACATATAAAAGACGGTTCAGTGGTTAAATCATGTTTGGGAATAAAGCTTAATTATGAGTGGCTCATTACATCAGCTTTTTGTCTTCTTAAAAATGAGTAAATAGTAAAAATGTTGTTTTAATTTATTACTAACTTGATTTTTACAGTTCCAGTCAAATTATTGCCGAAGCTCAAATTGATGGAGGAAACCATGTCGAACGTTACACCAACTGGAGAACTAGAATTCATCCTGATTTTGAAAAGGAAACTGGAAGACATGATATAGGGTTGCTTGCTCTCGAAGAATCTCCTAGATATATTAGTAAAAAAATGAAAGAAATGAGAATACTTCCATTTTCAACTAACTTCCAAGATATGATAGGAGTTGTAAGTGGTATCAATTCTGTCAACCCACTAGAATCAAATAGTTTTGGTCATTTAAATGTTACTCTTCTTGGTATGTCTGAATGCAAAAGGAAATTTCCGGAATTGGATTATGTTCAAAAATTGGAAAATTTTTTTCAAGTTTGTACTCTTCCTACTTCTGAAGAAACAGACTTGTTTGAATCAGATTCAGGTGCAGTCTTGTCCAGTGCATTTTATGATAATCGTGACAGAGGAATCATTGRAATATTTAACGTTATTCCTGAAAGAGCTGAATATTGTAACCAACAACGTCGTCCATTGATTTTCACACAGATTTATCCTTATTTTCCTTGGATTAATGATGTTCTTCCATATATTTCTTATAAAAGTTTGAAAGACAGAAACCTTACTTCCTAATATCATTTTAAAATAAAAAAAGTACTATGTAGGCATACTTAGTGTAGGTAGTATACTTACCGTCAGTGCCGAACAAAAGAATAAATTATACACAAARTAATATCAAATATTCTAGGAGTAATCTCTAAAGCTAGAAATAAAAAAAGTATTTGTTTGAAAATCGTTACTGAATTTTTATCGATTGTTTTAATAGAAATAAAAAGTACTACCTATTCAGTAATATCAAATATTCTAGGAGTAATCTCTAAAGCTAGAAATAAAAAAAGTATTTGTTTGAAAATCGTTACTGAATTTTTATCGATTGTTTTAATAGAAATAAAAAGTACTACCTATTCAGTGTTTTATTACAGGTTTTAACAGTATATTATGTAACTAGTGCTATAAACGCCACTTTAGACATGAGTTTTATTAAGCACAAGCAAAGCGCAGCGAACAATCATAAAAAATGTAAATTAAAAATTAAATTAAATGAAAGAAAGCTAATTATGTTTTTCGAATTTAAACGAAGGTTTTTAAAAAATATATTTTATTTCAAATGAACAGGACTTAGAATTTACAACTGAACTTACAACTTAGAAATTGACTTGAACTGTGCTAAAACATGAGGTATTGATATGCTAAATGTATTTGTTTTTGATAATGCTAATGAGTACTAGATTTACATGTTTATTTTTATATTTTGAAATTATTAGAGCTCTAATATAATCGTCCCTCCTTAACTCGGAAAATAATACAGATATAAAAAATATTTTACGTTGTTGAGGTTGCAAATCGGAATTTGGTGACTACGATTAGTGACTTGGTGGTTTCGATTCGGGATTTGGTGATTCAACTTTTCTTAACTTTCTTTATTTCCATATTATCCAACCTCCACTTACTATCAGAAGAAAACTATTTACGATGATGAACTTGATTCTGGATTATTGTTAGTCCAATTAATTCATTAGCTTGTTTATGGAGTTTAAAAATTTCATCCAGATTGGTATGATGTAGTACTACKAGTATATGTGATGCGGCAGGTCAACAAAGGTTCGGTAACATTGATGAAAATTTGGTCAATAGTAGTTTTTTACTTCCTAAATAACAAAATGCATTTAGTTTTTTGACAACACGTACCGTTTATTTGTTACATTTTTTACCAATAGTTTAATTAATACATTTTCTGCACTCTCACTTGGATTTTTTTCTAACAAATCTGGGGGCTGTCAGTGACAAACAAGGGGAGAGGTTTCACCAAAACATCAGAAAGATGAAAGAACGCTATCAAGGCAGCTGGGATCCTTCCATGATGGGCGATTACTCTTAGCTTTTTTAAAACGCGACAGTAACGTACCTAACAAAAGAAAATGTTGAGATTTCATCCTTTTATCGTAATATTGACTTTTTTAATGTTCCTAAAGTTAAGATACCTCTCAACAATGTGTATTCGTTGYTCAATTTTCTCGAATACCTTCCCGTCTTTATTCCGGAATTTCACAAATTCCTTTGATTCTTTGCCAATGTTCATCAGTGTTTCCTTCAACCTCTGTTGAATTCTTGATACCCGCTCAGCCATCTCCTGGTCGTCCATTAAATTKTTTTCTAATTTTTGCGTAGTTGCAAACCGGTAGTAGAGGTCTTGCCAGCTCTCATGATCGATGAAATTAAAAAAAGGTGCGTGAAGGAGGAGCTAATTTTTAATAAATGAAACTTAAAAACATTGGTTGTTTGGTTGGAATTTGTCGGTTGACACTAAATTTGAATTTTACACTGTACAACGGTGTGGATTAGAGTGCCCGACCTTATCTACAAAGTGAATCTATTTTTTTTACGACAAAATTTGAAATTAATGTCGAATCAAATTCAATTTTATCTTTAACTTCAATTTYAACATTGACTTTATTCTCTGTCTGTAATATATTTATTGTAAATAAAAGTTAAACACTTTACAACAGCGCCTAAATACAATAAAACAGATCATTTCCTGTTTCTCAAGACACCTGACTACCTGTAATTCTCTTCTCAGTCCATAAAATAATTTCAAGTTTTTGGAATTGACACCTCCCAAACGTTACATTTTTTCACACTCGAATTATTATTTAAATATTTCTTCTTGAAATAAGTGGCCKGAAAACCCAAATAAATAAAATTAAAATAATCCAATGACCTGTTGTATAGCCTCTCTTTAGGGGTCCCCTTTCGCAAAAGAATTTTTAAATCCAACCACCGCCGGAAACAAGTAACGACAAGTAAATTACCAAATAGGATTATAGATTTGTGGAGTTGAAGAGAAATATATATTTGCATTTTATAACGGGTGAAGGTTTATGACTGAAACAGGTAGGGTAAAGGGATTTGGGGTCATTAGAGAATARGAAAATACGTATTGTAAATTATACCAGTGTTTAGGATTTTGATTTTATCAGGAATTATAAAGAAAAAATTGTTTGGAAGGTAAATTATAAATTAATTAAATATGAGAAAAAATATCCACTTTTAGAATTTAGAATACTTTCTTCAAATTCATTCTTAATAATTATAAGCTTAGCATAACCTTAAACTCATGCATAAAACTGTTCAACACGTGTAGCATACTCTTTTCCAAGTCTTTATATAAAATAATAAAAAGTTTTTTTTTTTGGTGAAAAACATGTTTGTTTTAGGTGTAATTTTTTTGTATCATTGTAAGTATTTGATTTCAAAAACATCGTCAAATGGTTTGCTTTTATTTTGTTTTTTAGATATTTGTTCTATTTTGGTGTGATTTGGTTTTGTTTGTTTTTATTTATTATTTTATTCTTAAGAAATTTATCTTTTCAACTGTAACTAAAAAATATATAAAATCATATTATAAAAATATTATTTTCAAATGACAGCAATTTATTATAAATTTTATTCATTTTTTCAGTTTTTTATTATGTTCATAATATATTTACAATTTCTTGTAATATTAATATTTTATTTAATTAAACTCTTAAAGAAAATTACATCCTTTGCAACGCTTCCAGGTTTCAAAAAATAACGTCCTTTTGAAATATTTATTTTAAGRTGTTATACATAGTATTCCCAGTCCTAACATCGAATGTTCATATTGCAGGAGATTGTAAGTAAATACAGGTGAAYAAAAAGTATAGAACCATGCGTTATTAGCTTAAAATATATACCTTCTAAAAAAAAATAATTGATAAAACCGTATAAATGTAATCATTTTAAAAAAACAGTATTTATTCGACGAGTTTGAGTGTAAATCGGACGCTTTATTTCACGGAGTGTACCCGTTAACACTCGTGGTTTATCAACCACGAGGTGGAATAATGTTGAATACAACATTTTATTCTTAAAATTAGACTCAACAAGGCTTAAAATTGGTTTAAATCTGTTCAAAATACTGAAAATTTGTTTTTGTTTTTAAGTATTGTTTAATTTTTTATTGGCAGTCTATTATATTTTTTTTACAAAGACTGATTAAAAGATTAAATTTTAATTAAATTAAATTTTTGTCAAAACAATTTTCATAAGTTGGTATTTTAAAACCAAAAACTGAATAACTCAAAATCGTGTGAATTATAGCGCATAATCTTTCACCAATTCATTTTTTTCAAAAAGTAATAATTAATTATACCAAGAACACAAACTTTTTGTTCATTTTTATATTTATATTTATATATAAAGGTACCATTGGTGGACATAAAAACTAAGACAAACATAACAATTGTATGTCAAAAAATTAAAAGTGCTCCTCGGGTAAATTTGATTTATTACAAAAAAAAGTTTTAAAAGTTAAGACATGTTGTTAAAAACATCAAGTAAGTCCAATTTTTTAATGATGTCTTCATTACAAGAGTTTTATAAAAAGCACAATAGCATCTCTTTATAGGTTTAAAAAGCTTCAAAGGTCATTGACAACTTTTATTTTGAGTGACGATTCAAAAGTTTGAAACACAATGAGCAAATTTCGAATGTTTTTTTTTATATCCACTGATAGTAGGTACATAATAAAAATAATACAAAAAACATAATAAATATAATAATAAATAAAACATAATAAAAAAAACAAAAAAAATAAAAAAACATGTTCTCATCATACACTAATTAGATAAATGTTAATAAATCAGTTAAAGTCTTCCAGAAAAAGAGCTACTACAAAAGTAACTCAAAATTTAAAATTTTCGCTTTATTAATAAACTAGGTTCTCACTAAAATCATTTTTCAACAAGACCTAGATGTAAAATTGTCATTCATAAATTGTTTCACATCCTCGTACATAAATAAATACACGTGTTTTTATATCCACAAGAATAATTATCATGTATAAGAGCTACTTTCTAGATGTAACTTGCAGTTTCAAAAAAGATAAATTTTGGACATAACGATAAAAATTGCTTCCATAAATTGTACATAAATGCAGTAACTACTTTTAATTAGATTGTTATGTTTCAGTTTTAACATTTTCACAGATTAATGATAGAATTTTTCAGACTTTGAATATTTTTTACATGAAAAGCACCTTGGAAGCAATTTCTTTATGCAACAACAATTTTTAATTGAATAAAAATTTAATAAAACAAAGACTGAAAATTGTTGCTCTTTATAAAAATAATTAAAAAAAAACTCTAAAACAAGCTTTTTTATGTAAAATCAAGAAATCAATTAACAAAATCCAAATAATTATTTTATGTTGTTAAAAATTATTTTTAAAATCTTACTGCAAATATATTTATTACAAAGTGTTTTTTCTTAAAATCATGACCAAGTGTTGCAAGTGTCACGGAGTTTCCGGGAGTTGCTCCTTCCAAACGTGYTGGATGCAGATRCCCACATTCCCGGAAATATCCAAACAACGTTACGACAAAGCCATCATGATCAGTTTTGAGAAAATTCAAGGAGCTCTCACTTTAGGCAACACGGCCAGACACATGCCGCTATAATCGGCTGGAGACGTGTTGCCAAATCTAGACTATTTGGGAAAATCACCGGACTTTTGTTTTAGTAATAACTCGACTGGTAAGTATTTTTTCTAATTGTTCTTTTAGTTTATTGTTATTATTATTTTTTTTAATTAGGTTGGCTTGGGACTAAAGGAAGGACCTGTTCAAGGAMTAGTTCTGCATCTGCAACAATCGCAGAGAAGAAAAGTTGTGGTCTTGTGGATTCAGAGTGAGAAAACAAGAGAAAAAAATTACGAAAAGGTGTAATTGTAAATTTATATGGTGTTGTGAAGTCGAATGCGATGTTTGTGTTGAATATGTTGATGAATTTACATGTTATTAGTTTAAGGTCGTTTAGAATTGTAAGATGTTATGTGATATAATTTAAAAAATAACTATAATAAACATTTTTATTTGAAACTTTAGTGTTTTAATAGATATGTACTTGCTTATTTCCTTAATATCTTCAAAAAGACGGTTTATTAAGGTAAGATACCAGGAACATGGAAAAAATGTTAAAAAAAAATTATCTATAAAAATTTCGAAGTTATGAGGGTTTAAATTTTGCACTATGACTCTATTTATTTCTGTTGGAACAATAATTTTCCAAGTTTTTTTTGCTATAGGCTATATTAAAAGAGGAAACAAGGAAGATATATCCTAAAACGTAACTCTGTTCAATGTTATTTGTGGCTTTTATTAGCAAAATTTATGTATCTTTATTAATTGTAAAAAAACATATACAGGCTGTATTATGAAAAACGCCCCAAGCCATAACTCCATTATTTTTAAAGTTATGACAATACTTCTTAGAACAAAGTTGAACACTTTTTGTCATCTATCGTTTGGGATAGATGTTAAATTAATGCTGTTTTCGGTTTCACTAAAAATGACATCAACTTTATTTTTTTTAATAAAACACCTGTATATTTTACCACTTTTGKATTCTTTGTTTAATTGTCTTTTAACAAGTTTTAGTACCATGTGCCTAAAACCAACCATTCGTGAGATATGAGTCAATTAAATATTTATTAAAGTTGGCAGTGGAAAACAATAATATTATTGTTGACAAATATTATTACTTTGCATTTTCTCTTATTATTTTTATACTTTTTGGTGTTCTGGTGATAATGTGTTAACAGACATGATTCAAGAATATTTTGAAAGCAATAAAAATAGTTGGAGACCACAACGCCTTTACATTGGGCGGTTTCCAATAAGAGAAATTCCAATTCGTCCACCTGAAGAAAATTTGAGGATGTTTGGGGATTTTAGAAAACCCAAATTAGAACAGAACGATAAGACAACGTGACTTGCAATTTCTTGAATTCATGTTCCTGCATTTTCATCAATATCTATCTAATTATGTATCTCTTTGAAATTGGAGATGTTTTAATTTGGGTTTTCTAAAAGCCCAAAACATCCTTAAATTTTCTTTAAGTCGCTTAAATTTTCGACAATTTGGAACGTCTCTTATCAGAAATCACCCAGTGTAAAAGCGTAGTGCTCTCCCACAATTTTTATTTTATTCAAAATATGTCTGTTAACACATTATCATCCATGATTAACATTAAAAAGTATAAAAACAGTAAGAGAAAATGCAAAGGAATAATATTTGTCAACATTACTTGATATTATTGTTTTCCACTGCCTACTTTAATAAATACATTTTTTGGTTACGAACGGTTAGTTTTAGGCATATGGTACTAAAACTTGTTAAAAGACAATTAAACAAAGAATCCAAAAGTGGTAAAATATACAGCGTGTTCCATTAAAAAAATAAAGTTGATGTCATTTCCGGTGAAACAGAAAACAGCATTAATTTAGCATCTATCCCAAACGATAGATGACAAAAAATGTTCAACTTTGTTCTAAGAAGTATTGTCATAACTTTAAAAATAATGGAGTTATGGCTTGGGGCGTTTTTCATAATACGGCCTGTATAATAAAATAAATTAAATAGTTGAATCATTTTCAGTACTTTGTTGCTTTACCATGAGTGTCAGAACGAAATTGGTAACATAAGAATGATACGTGATGGGACATTTTTGTGAAAATTTTCGAAATCAGAGTGAAAAATTATAAACATCAAACGTAGTTTAATCAATGTTACCGAAAGTTTGTTCTAATTTGTTGACCTGTGTTATTGTTGTTCATTTTCTTTCAACTTTATATTTTCTCCGCTTTTGAATGTTGAACCATTTATAATTATTTCACATTCTGGTGGAATTTTAATTACGCTAGGTCTTATAATGACGAAGACCGCAGAACTTGGACAAATTTTCTTAAGTTTCAAGTTGGAATTATGAGCAGATACTTCTTGATTATTGTTTTACTATTGTTGTTGTTAGGTAAAATTTCTTCAGGTAACATCTGCTTCTCTGGAATTTTCTATTAGCGAYATTAAAAAAATTAATACATATCTGTCCATTAATCCAAAACCAACATTAAATACGTTTTCGGTTTCATCCCCTAGTCGCTAGCCACCTCTACTTTAGAATTTTAAATAACACGTAGGAGGTGATACATTTTCAGAAAGGGAATAAGTGAGCGTATCTAACTGTCAAAGAAAAAAAAAAGTCTATTCGTTTTTTAGTTAAGAGTGGTTTAATTTTTAAAATTTTTAGTCCTAGTAGCCTTTGATTCAACTCAATTTAATTTAAATAAAATTAATTTTTTAATTAACTGAACTGTCAAACGGTAAATTTTGGATGAATTTTTGACACCACCGCCTTGTTAATAAAATGTATTCGATGACACATAATCAAAATCAAAGTTAAAGGCTACTAGGACTGATGGAAATTTCTAAAATAAAACTATCCCTAACTCAAAAACGAATCGACAAAATATTTTTTTCATTTACGATTAGATAAGCTTTTTTCCACCCCTACAAAAATGTTTCAAAAAGTTGGAGGTGCTCTTTAAAATTTTAAAGTAAGGGTGGTTAGTGACTAGGGGATGAAACCTAAAACGTATTTAATGTTGGTTTTAAACTCTCCCATCGCAACCCAAATAGACATATTTTTTGTTTAAATTAAATTGAGTTCAATCAATGGCTACTAGGACTAAAAATTTCAAAAATTAAACCAACCCTAACTGAAAAACAAATCGACAAAAAAAATTTTTCTTCGACATTTGGCGACGCTGATTTTTTCTCTTTCCGAACGTTCTAAAAAGTAGGGGGTGCCATTTAAAATTTTAAAGTAGGGGTGGCTAGCGACCAGGGGATGAAACTTAAAATGTAACTAATGTTGGTTTTCAACTTCCCTCTCGGGATCCTAATCGACCTGTTTTTGCTTGAAAATACATTTACTCAATGTCAAAAGTTATTGAGACTGGATCCTTTTGAAATGAAAGCCCTGTATGTATAGAATGATCAAAAAGTCCTATCACTAGTTAAAGATGTATGTCGCATATATTACCAAGTTGTCAAAAAATTACCTATAAAAATCTCTCAAAACATTCTTATATATTATGTTTTTGGATTTTCCTATACAGATCGTATATCATGGACTCATGTCAGAATTGACCATAGAAAAGAAAGATTGAATTGACTAAAAAATAATTTTGTCATTCTCAGTTGTCATGAAGACGTTTTATTTTCTGCAGATATACGTTCTAAGTTTCTACGTTTGCTTGAGAAAGACTTTTTGGTCGTACTGTTGAACAACATAGGATGCAATGTTATTTCTAATTTTTGTTATACTGGGTGCGCCAGAACTCGTGCCCCAGAGCCATATAAGGTAAGATACCATAGTAAAAATGTTAAAAAAACATTATCTATAAAAATTTCGAAGTTATGAGAGTTTAAAATTTGCACTTTGACTCTATTTCTGTTAGAAAAACAATTTTCCAAGTTTTTTTGCTACAGTAACTCTATTTGTATTTGTGGCTTTTATTGGCAAAATTTTTGTACTGTTACTAAATAATTAAAAAAAAAACATACTATACAAGATCATCAATATCTCAAAAAATAAATGTCAAAATTTTTTGACAGAAAGTTTTTTAAACATTTTTTCCATGATCCTGGTACCTTATCTTGAAATTTTTCTTTGAGGCACGACTTCTGACACACCGTGTATTCTATTTTCAGCTCCCTTAGAAACGAAGATTTTCCACGCTAGTCATATAAGTCAATTAAAATCTATTATTATTAACATGTATGAGTCTATGAGTTACGATTACGTATTAAGAAGCTCTGTATACATAAGTACCGAGTGAATAAAAAAGATAGAACTGCATTTTTGAACCTAATTACTTGACAAATAAATAATTACTGCAGTGTAAAATACTATAAAACTGTGATCGTTTTCCAAGAATAATTTTTTTTGAAATTCCTTTTAGTTTTAGTTTTTTATTTCCAAGCTCATCACAATGAATTTCCAAAAATTACTCGTCGGAAATTTCCAGAATTTTTGGAAATCGAGTTTTTAAAAATTATCAAGTTTTCGTCTCATTATGCTTGTGTGCAGCCTCTTCAGCGAGAAGTAGCGTGCCATGTGTTACAGTAAGCTATATATTTTTTAAACTTCTAGACAGATTGGTATTATTTTTTTATAACACCCTGAGGTGCCCTTCTGGAATTGGTGGTTTTAAGTACTTATGCAAGTAAAAGTTCGRCTGCACTTTTTGGTAATCTATTGCCGCCGGCACTTAACATTTTTTTCTGAAGTGCAAAAGTTTAAAATTTATAAATTAAATTTTCTGTTCAAAAATTCCAAACTTATGCTAATAATGTTTTTTAAGATAGGTGTATAATTAAAAAACATAATACAGAAAAACTATGTCATGAAATTCAGACATCTGTTTTTATTTGCATTGTATTGAAATGAAAATAYATAATATATAAATACTACATATTTGAGAGAATAAAAAATTAAAAAAGTCTAAAGTGAATAGTAATTTATTGCGGTAAAAATGTAACAAAAATTTAAAGAACTGGATTATGCAAAAACAATGAATTTGTGAATTCTTTTACATGTTGACTTCAAGAAAAAGTAAAAGGGTAGGAATCAATTTGCCAAAACGCATTACGCTACTAATAAAATAACGATCAATGTCCATACCTGCAAAAAACAATATAATATCAATATTTATATACATCATGTGAGCAATAGAATTTTGAATCAGGGAGAGCCTTGGAGGGAATTTTCACGTATGTCTTCTATTAATTTTGAGTAATTAAACTACTCGCAGTTAGTAACCGTTAAAACTACTTTTAAGCCTCGATATTTTAAATTTAGATTAGATCTCGTAATTTATTTGTGTCAATAATTCGTTGTTGTAGATCACCTAAATCAGCAACAGAGTTTTGAAAATTGTGTTTTTCAAATGTGGCCATAAAAAAGTCAAAGAGGGTGATATCATATGACTTCGGAGGGCAAATTGTCTCTCTATTTAAAATAATCATGCGATATCCAAAAAAAGTGGCCCAGAAAAGTAATGTTTTCAACCAGGGTCAAATTTTTATATGGGATGCTAAGTTGAAATGTGGGTCCAATATATGAAATAAAAAAATGTACAAAAACCACTTTTTGAAGGAGTTGGTTTCCTCTATTGAGATTGTGAAGTCACTTTTAATTGAAATCATGATGGTTTAATAAACGAAAATTTTTATTAGATCAACGTCTTCAGAGACTGTAATTTTAATTTTTGTTTTTCTTTTTGTTTCTGTGCACCAAATTTATAAAAAAAATTTTTAGATTTTTCCATTATTTTATTTTCCATTATTTATGCCCACAAATAAATTCAAGTATCGGGTGATTAAAAAATGTGTGGCGTAATTTTAACCACTAATACCCCTCTACAAATGGGAATAGAGAGCACAGTATTTATTGACCCACCTCAAAAAATAAGAAAAATTACAACTTTCTAAAAATCAGTATGAATAAATGATTTTGTGGAAATATTTTATCGTTATCGTTTATCCGATTATTATTGGTTACATACTTTATATTCACCTGTATGTGTATCTTTCTCTGCAAGGGCCAACTCTGATACAAAATTCCGTTGCTCACCCGTCACATACATACGAAAATTGTTATAATTCTACCTACAATAAATTATGCAATTATGGAGGTTTCAAATTTGAACATTTGACCTTATTTATTTATTAAATGTATTGTCACCGGCAATGTTGCAACATATTTTTCAACTAAAAAGGCATAAAAACATTGATCAAATAACATTATACATAGTGCGCCAGAACTCGCGCCCCAGAGAAAAATTTCAAGTAAGATAAGTTACCAGGATCACGAAAAAATTATTTTGACATTTGACATTTTTTATGTCTATTTAATGATACTGATAATCTTGAATATGTTTTTTTTTTCAATTATTGAGTAAAGGTACAAAAATTTTGCCAATAAAAGCCACAAATAACATTGAACAGAGTTACAATTTAGGATACAGCTTCTTTGTTTTCTCTTTTAATAGACTGTAGCAAAAAAACTTGGAAAAATATTTTTCCAACAGAAATAAATAGTCGAAGTGCAAAATTTAAACTCTCATAACTTCGAAACTTTTATAGATAATTTTTTTAACATTTTTTCCATGTTCCTGGTATCTTACGTTATATGGCATTTTTCTCTGGGGCGCGAGTTCTGGCGCACCCTATATAGTTGCAATTATGAATACTTTCTTTATTTACTTTTCTAATACTCGTAGTATATGTACAATATAAAATTATTTAACCAACTGAAATAAATTGGGTCAAAAGTGCAAACTTTAAACTACCATAATTAAAAATTATTATAGATAGAATTTTTTTAACATTCTCCTTATACTTTATAACATAATTGAAGGGGTGAGTGGATAAAGGTGTTATGTAACATTCTGTTTCTACTTTGCGTTCGTACTAAGGTTCATTACGAAACTGTTTTGGGTTTCGTAATGAACAAATACAGTGCTATAAAAATTATACTAAAAACAGGAAAATTTAGTCTTATAATGTTGGCGACCTAACCGTTTTTCCATCGAACTGTCAGTGTCAATCGGTCTAACGCAAATGAAATTATTCAAATACGAAATTTTTGCTATGTTTGGTTTAATTAATCATCGCAAAAAATATTCCGAATGAACATGATTATAGTGGTGCTTACGCATACCTTTAGACCATAAGACAAAGTAAAATAAAAGGTACTTACTGTTACTTTTGAGACTTTTGTAGTTAGTTAGGTAGGTTTTCCGTCAACTTACTGAACAATATTGGCGTGTGATCTCACAGGGAGAAAACTGTTCATCGTATTTGCCGTCAAGGTCGGTATTTCTAACGCCGTACATTGCAAAACGTCTTCGATACCTTCGAAATTCATTTTTACGAATAAAATTATGACCTTTCAAATTAATTTATTTCATAGCCACCTAGCCACCACGCAATGACGCCAACTGACGCAAAACTCCCTACATTCCAAAATTTTAATTTTTTTGTTTTGTTTACTGACCTACGCAGATTCACTTCCTACAATTGTTTACAAAATCAGAAAAAAAAATACCAATTAGATTTTGAATTATACGCAATTTTCCATCTTAACTTTGAAAATCATTTTTATTTATGACCTTCTACTTATGCCATCGTAAATTTAGGTGACAATGGGGAACTGCAATTGGGATAAGATTCCAAGGTTTACAACAAAAAGACCCTTTAAAGCGGTCGGCTACCAGTAAATAATTCTTTTGTTGGCAAATTATACCATTTTGTCATAAATCATGGGTCTGGTTTGTGTTTAAATAAAAAAAGCGATTATTTGGCTAACCAAGTCAAAATTTGAAATTGTGATATCAAAATTTGATGCACTGACAGGTACAGATTCATTTAGTGTAAAAATTTTAAAGGTAAATTAACAAAAAGTATTCATAAAACACACAAAACTGTTACGGACTCATTTATTATCCAAAAAAATTAGAAATATTTTCAAATTATACCCTGTCAATAATTAGTTAGGTWTATGGAATATCGCCAGTTTTAATTACTTTGAAGTCGCGATTTATCAAGTGCGCGTAATCGATGCCCCACCCGGTACTATTTGAAAACTGGTATTTTCTTATAAAACTATTTTTTTTGCAATATTCTTGGTTTCTATTAGGAATGAAATTACCAATTGCTAAAGACGTTATGTATAACTTGGATTGTTAAATAAACAGTGGATAACGGTGTTAAAATATGTTTAAATAAATAAATAAATGTTTTAAAAAAGCACATATAACACTATTTTTACTTAATTCAATTACTGTCCGATGTATTCTTGACAAAATTTTGCGAAATAATTGCGTTTTTTATTGAAAAATGTTTTAAAACGCTCGAAAAGTGCATAAATTATGTGGTTTTTTATTTAGTCTGGTATATGTATTGATTTTTTGGTATGTTTTTTAGCAAAAATTAAAGAAAAAACTTTGTTTTAAACTTAAAAACGCAACTAGATGTTTGAAAATTATGTGATTTTTCGGCTTATTTTTGACGAAGTTTTGTGCTTTTGATTAAAAAATCTGCTAAAACGTTTGGAATAGCAACCAGATGATTTTTCAGCTCAAAAACATGTTTAAACTCTCCAAAGAAGCAAAAATAATTTTAGTTTCGTGATAGTTTATTCATTTCAAACCTCATTTTCGACGAAGATTTTCAAAACAATTGCGATTTTGGCTAAAAAACGTCCTAAAACGGAAGATTTTTTTAACAAAATTTTTAGCACAATCTAAAAAAGTAAAAATAACACCATTTTTGAGTAAATTTAGGCATTTGTGACGAAATAATTTTATAAATTTTTAATTGAAAAACGTGCTAAAACGCCCAAAAAATCATATAAAAGGTCATTTTCAACCCAATTTGGTAATTTTTCAATATGTTTTAACAGAATCTTACAAAAAAACATGATGTAAACAAGCAAAATTCATTATTTTTCACTTAATTTGATGACTTTTCGGTAGATTTTTGTCTAAATATTTCTCTTATTGAAAAATATGGTGTTAATATAGAAAACCGTTTTCGAAAAGTCGATGAACTAGCAAAATTACACCTCTAGTAAACAAAAAAAAATCTTTTAAATGAGAATGTTAATTTTCGAGACAGCATAAAGTGAACTTTTTATAATAACTTATAAATGTTTTGTTAAACTTGTTATTAGAAAATAAAGCTTGTTTTTTGGTACATAACACTTTTATCAATTTTTTAATAATATAAACTAATGCATTATAGTGGATGAAGGGGTCATGTACATTTGATCGTTAAAAAATCTATTAAAAAAATTGTTACCTAAGTTTTCTAATAACAAGGAAACAATATTCACATAGGCCTTTATTGTATATCATGTGATTTTGTTTACCAAAAACAAATTGGAAAAAAGTACTAGCAAATTATATTAAAATGCTTATAACTCCAAATATAGACACTTTTATCCACTCACCCCTTCAATTATGTATTGTGTCATAAAACTGTTAGGAGTTATTTGGACACTGTATTATTAAACAATTAATCATTAAAACATAAATGAATGAAAACATGTTCAGTAATCACATTATAAAATGCACTTTTAACTGTGATTGTCACGCTTAAAATGAATCCAACAAAGTGAAATACATACTTCTGAAATTCCCATTCTCGGTTATCTAAAGGACACACYTGCCTCGTTTTCAACCATCTCGAAATACAATGAAAGTGAAACGCGTGCTAAAATCACATCACAAATTTGCTATACATTAAATATTAAAACAACAAATTACTTACATTACACACACCCCACGCAACTGTACATTCTTCACTGGTTGCTGAAGCCTGGTTAGCCTGACATTCGATACACAGATCCATAATGTGATTGCGGCAAATGGCACAGTTATCGACGACAATATCTAAAATTTTAATTAGAATCGTCTTTTCCAATAAAATTGCTCACCGTACCCCAAGCCCATAAAGCGACAGCGTTCCACTACAAAAAGTGAGAATCATCAAACTGTTAGGTTATGTTATTCAAACTTACTTTTTTTACTTCGAAACGCTTCTTTTCACCTTTGGAACTGCTAGAAGTGGGAACTTCAACTTCATCAACATCAACGTCCATTGCTGCTGCCATTTTTGCTATAAATAAGACAAAAATAAGAGTTTTTTACGTGAAATGCCAAATTGGTTTGTTAGTAAAACTTTTTCGACTAGGGAATTTTACTTTTGGTGTCTTTTCACACCAACATAAAAATAAAATGTGTGATATTTCGTAGTTTTTTTATGCAGAATCTCTGTATTTTAGTCACATCAAACACGATAAACAACATATTTGCTACTCGTAATATAAAAAAAAAATATACCTATTTTTACAATATAAATTGTCTAAATTTTAAGTGTATTATTAGTTGACTGACTTACAGGCGTAATATCAATAAAAATACAGAATGTTCCGTGTAAACCCCACAGAAGTATTGGGAGTTCGAATAATAGTATTTATTTGAAAATTGATACATAGCCATAAATCATTAAGTCCTCCTAAATGAAAATATTTGCAAGATGGCGGCACTTTCTGTTATACCGGAAGTCGGTCTCAACTTTCTTATTTTAAATGGAAAGGTATATTTTTTACTGCGTTCTATATACCTATACCTAAATTTAGCCGTTTTTGAAATATTTGGAGTTTTTTTTTTAATTTTGGATCAGCACCTTACATTTTAAAAATCGGTAACTCTGCCATTTTTTAAGATTTTGAATTCATTTTTTTTTTGCGTTTGAAAGAGAAAGCTTAGATCCTTTTTCTGGTGTTTTCAAATTTTGAAATAAAAACATATCTCAAAATTTTAAGGTTACTTTTGTAACAATTCAAATACTCATCTGAATTTTTTCAAATGGAATACCTCAATTTTTATTTTACTAAATAGAAGAGTAAATTACTATTTGACAAATAGTGCCAAAATATGGAGAATCAAAGTTATGCAAACTTAATTATTATTGATAGGTTCTACCATGCGTTCATTATTTAAAGCTAACAAGTGAGAAAAACTTATTTTTGTTTAATGAACGATATCCTAATTTTGTTACACTCTCCATAAATACCAAATAAATTAATTAAATCTAAGTTTGAGTAGCTTTGACTCTCCATATTTTGGTACCGTTTGTCAAATAATAAGTCATTGTCGACGTTTATTAAGAAACAACTTCGACATTTTTGATTTCCATAGCAAACTATTCAAAAACGTAATAGATTTTCGACAGTCTTAACAAAAAGTCACCATAACTTAAAAATTATTAAATTTAGGTATTGGGAATGTTAATACAGATCGATGCAGAATTAAATTCTATTCCATTTAGTAAAATATAAATTGAGGTATTTTATTTGGAAAAATTGAGTTATGGGTATTTTAATTATTACAAAAATAACCTTAAAATTTTAGGGTTTGTTAATTTTTTTTTCAAAATTTGAAAACAGTGGACGTCAAAAAAAGGAATTTAAAATTAAAAAAAATAGCAGAGTTATCGATTTTTAAAGTGAAAGGTGCAAATCCAAAAATTTTTGAAAAACTCCAAATATTTCAAAAACGGCTAAATTTAGGTATAGGAAAATCTGATGAAAACTCCCTTAAAATAACACGATTAATCCAAAAACGCAGTAAAAAATATACCTTTCCATTTAAAATAAGAAAGTTGAGACCGACTTCCGGTGTAAGCGGAAGTGCCGCCATCTAAAATTTTAAATCATGAAATTATTGTTGTAATATTATGTATAATGGGTTAGGCAAAAAAAAATAATTAGAAATACCTCTCTCGTGAATAATCCTGTATAAAGTATTTCATATAATTTTACAAAACATGAACTTATTTAAAAAAAATAAATTTAAATATAACACATACCTATTTAACTTTAATCATTAAAAAAAGTATCAACTATTTTTTTAACAGCCAAAAAGTGCAGTTGTAGAAGACATGAAAGAATTAATTACATTTATGTTWCATTTAATTTTTGCAAAAAAACAATTTGAATTTTAATACTTTACAACTCTTGTATCAAAATAATTTGTAATCGAGTCATTTTTGGTTCCGAAAACTTATGTCGCTTTTGCACTAATTGCACGTGAGAAATCAAATAAAATGACAAGTCAAAAGGTAAAACGACAAAATGTTCTGGAATTAGTCGCCGACGTATAATGTTACTCGTAATAGGAGCGTGCTTTTTTGAAGGTAAAAAAATAAATAAATTTAGATAAATCAATTTAGTTATTAAATAATCATCTTTTTAATCATGCCATTTTACCTTTTTACTTTTACCTTTGACGTTTCACAGACATACGTTTTCGGATCCAAAGATGTCTCGATTACAATTACAAATTATCTTGATCTCGGGATATAAACTTAAGTGTCTATGGTGGAAATACTGTGATTATACCATGGTGTATTATTACCATGGTATGTATCAAGAATGCTCATTTAATAATACCTACCAATATATTGTTGCAATTTATTAATCTATTAGATACAAAAACAAAAATTGGGGTCTTTTATTTAAATTTTTCAAGTTACTTAACATTTAACAATCTTATTTTTTCCTTCACGATTGCAATCCGCTAAAAAATATTATAGCACTAAAGTTTGAATTTTGAATAAAGTAATAAAAATCTTTTTTTTTTCTAATAGCATAGATGAAATATATATATTTCCTCTATGCTAATAGGTAATCTTAGTTTGTATGTAACAAATTTCTAAAGAATATTCGTTAAAAAACAAAATATGTTATAAACTAAGAAAAATCGAATAATAAACGTTTAGAATAAAATTATCAAAATTAAATTTTACCACAGAGAAATTATACAGGGTGCGCCAGAACTCGCGCCCCAGAGAAAAATGTCAAGTGCCGGCAACAATGCGTCGCCACAAAGTGCAGCCGAAGAAGTAACTTTTGTTTGCATAAGAAAGTTATTAGACCCTTAATTCCGTCAATCCCAGAAGGGCACCTCAGGGTGGGATCGAAAAATTATATCTGTTGCTGGGTTACAAAAATAATACCAATTTGCCTAGAATCTTCAATAAATAGTTGGTCTACTGTAATTTTCACATCTGTCATGTGATGACATAACACTCCATTTTCGAATATTTTTCTCCCCGAAGAGGTTGTACACGAGTGTAATGGTTTGAATTTGTGTTAGATGTCAATTGTGTGGTTTAAGTTTTAACCATGTGATTAGCCGCTGATTATTTGGAGATAATAACCATATTGGGAAAGTGTTGGCGTAACGCCAGGGAGGCAGCTAGGATATTTTCTGAACGTTTTCCTGACAGAAATCGCCCATGCTATAAGGTTACATTGAGGGCGATTGCCAGGGTGCAAGAGCGGTCAAGTCCTACCAGAACGAAAAGAAATTAGAGGTGTTCCCAGAACGGGGCGCATAGTTGAAAATGAAGAAGCTTTTCTTGATTTTTTAAGATTTTTAAGTAGATRCATCAGAGAAGTTGTAGTCATTATAACTGACATACTCGTATTAGGACAGAGGAAATTTCAAATGTTTTGTTTCCGGGGGCATTTCATCAATGATTTCCAGTAAATTTGTGGACTGACTGAGAATATTCCAAATGCTTTTTTTCCGGATACATTTCAGCAATGATTTTCAGTAAATTTGTGGACTGTTGAGGAATATCAACTAATTTCAATATCTATTTTTAGGTTACAATTACACTACCGAACAATAATACCTTGGTAAATCTACAATTATGACAGTAAAAATTATCCTAACCTGTTTTGTTCAAGCACAAATTCTTATAAAAAGTACATTTTTCTGTTACTTTTGCAATAAAGTAAAGAAACTGGCGTAGGTACATTTTTACCTTTTTGGTTAATCTAACTCGCTTCTAGCATTAGTTTTCGGCTTGTTGTCTGTGTCATATCGAAGAAAAAGTTAAGGAGGAACAATGCTTCTGAAGAAAACATCTAAAAGTATTAAAATAGTTGTTGGTTCATCGCAGTGGAAATCGAGTTTTCAAAAATTTTCAACGATTTCGTCTCATACTTGTGCACAGCATCTTGAGCGAGAAAAATATTCGAAAATAGCGTGTTATGTCAAAAACATGACAGACAATTACAGTAATCCAGCTATTTTTTTTAAATTCTGGGCAAATTGTTATTATTTTTGTAACCTAGCAGCGGATATAATTTTCCAATCACACCCTGAGGTGCCCTTCTGGGATTGGTGGAATTAAGAGTCTCTCAACTTTCTTATGCGAGCAAAAGTTACTTCTTCAGCTGCACTTTTTGGCGACCCATTGCCGCCGTCATTTGACATTTTTCTCCGGGGCACGAGTTCTGGCGCACTCTGTATTTTAATGAACTTTACAACACCCTGTATACAGGGTGCGCCAGAACTCGCACCCCAGAGAAAATTTTCAAGTAAGGTAAGATACCAGGAACATGAAAAAAAAGTTTCAAAAATTCTGTCAAAAAAATTTGACATTTATTTTTTGACATTTGACATTTTTTTATGTCTACTTTATGATACTGATGATCTTGTATATGTTTTTTTTTACAATTATTTAGTAAAGGTACAAAAATTTTGCTAATAAAAGCCACAAATAACATTTAACAAAGTTACCATTGAGTACACAGCTTTTTTCTTTCTTTTTCTAATAGACTGTAGCAAAAAAAAATTGAAAAATTATTTTTTTAACAAAAATAAATAGAGTCAAAGTGCAAAATTTAAACGTAACTTCGAACTTTTTATAGATAAAATTGTTTTAACATTTTTTTATGTTCCTGGTATTTTACCTTATGTGGCATTTTTCTCTGGGGCGTGAGTTCCGGCTCACTCTGTATAATATAATATTTTTTTACTTAAGCTTTTTTTTCGAAGTAAACTTGACATTTTAATGAGAATTTTGTTTTCTGGCAATTTAACGAAAAAAACTGCTTTTGAAAAAATTACGAGTAACTTCTGGCAGATCTTTGAGTTAAACTTCCTGAAGGAAACAAAACTCGAATTTAAAATGTCAAGTTTTTTTCGTAAAAAAAAGCTTGAGTGTAATTCGGTAAGACGATTTAATGAATACGTAAATTACTAAATTAACAAATAATAATTAACAAAGATTCAGACGCTTTCAAAAGTTATTTTCCGTTTTGTCGCTGTAATAGTTAGGGCGGTAATCTTTTGTCGCTGTCATAGTGACAAAAACACCGCGGCTTATGGGATTTTTAGTGTATGAAAAAAATTGTCTATGATATTACATAAATGCCAAAAAACATATCGAATAATTTAAAAATATGTGGCGTAATTTTTACCACGAATACCTCTCTACAAATGAGAACAGGTGGCACAGTATTTACTGACCCACCTCAAAAAATAGAAAAATTACAGCTGTCTAAAGA